GTGGAAAAGAATAAGGAAGTAGTATTGTTGATTGTCGTATTAGAACGAAGTTACCGAAGCTGTGAAACTAAAGTCTTGAATACTGAAGACAGTTGTCTTAAAAATACTGAAGCAGAAAATGTACAATGAACACAGTTTCAGAAAGCTTATTATTGGAGAGCTATGGCACTTTATCACACAAACCATTCAAACGAGATGGTTACAAAGGTAAGTTTTCCAGCATCGTGATTCTAGTCATTGATTCGTATCATTCAGTCTCATAGTAAATGACTGAAACAATAAACTGTGTCCATTCTGCGAAAGATCTTTGAATATATAAGTTGCATATTCAGGGAGTATCTTGGTTGAAAACCTCATTAACAAATTTTGTTATCATGAATTAAGACCATCCGCAGCAACCTCTCGTCATTTTTATTGGTCATAATTATGCTGCTTTCCTTCGTCCCTCTTACTAGATGGTTTATTGCATACTTCTTTGATTAGATCATCTTTACTTCCTGATTCGTTTTGATCGACATTCAACTTCATTTCATTAGCCGAATCTTTCAAAAGCGTTTTCCTTTGTTGATCGCTTCACATCGCAGTTTTAATTTAGCGAAAATGACGACTCAATGGAACATAACGATATCCCATATCTTATCATTACAGAATTGTTTCATCGAAATCTCTTAAGCGTCGTGCACATATTTCTGAAACAGTTTTGATTTTCTGTGAATGCTCTCTTTCGCTTCGAAAATGTGACATTATGACGTCTAATTGGTATACTGATATGCTGACCACAATGAATGTTCGGATGCAGTAAAATTACTCTCAATTTCAGGCACAAGAATGTTTATTGTCATCTCCGAACGCAGCTAAATCTTGTGAAATTTTAACGTTTCTGGCTAAACTTTTTGTACAAAAGAATGAAATAATCCCTGCAATCGAAGCTTACAAGAAAGCAATTGAGGTTTTGTTTCACTCAATCTCTCACAGTTCAATGCATGTACGTTTATGTAATCCTCGTTTATTACCGCTGAAGTACCATGTCAAGCAACCTTTCAGTACTGTGATCGATCGGTATTTTCCGATCAAATCGTTCTCATCACCCTAAATGACATCAAGTGTTTTATAGATAGAACCAGAGAATTTGGACATTCTAACGAATATCGGACTGCTTTACTTGCGAACACAATCTGACGATCAGTCGTTTTCGATTCTTGGTAAAGCGTTAAGCTATGATCCAACGCATGTGCCGAGTATACTCGCTGCAGGTTCAATCATACAAGCAAATGGTGACTACGACGTTGCACTTGCTAAATATAGGTGGGTTCATATTTGCCCAGCAACTGTACTCGCCACATGATGCAGTAATTGATCTGAGTCAGGGGAACGAGAAATTTCAGTGGAACAAGAAACTGCTCAATGAAGTTCATTTCAGTGAGTTGAAGAAAGTGAAAATTCATTTGCAATCCATCCACTTTGATCATCNCATCATTTGATGAAATTCTGAAACGGGATCTTTCAAGTACAGGTACAATACAGTCATAACCAGTTGTGCGCCATTTGGCATCACTCAGGCTAAAATTTGACTCATCAATGATAGTGATGTCAATAAATTGCAAGATTCGTCGAATGAGATGCACCGTCGAAATAGGAATATAATTTGAATGTTGTAGAGTGGCTGTAGATAAGTGCGATTATAATGGACCGTTATGGAATAATATTGGAATGTGTTTCTTTGGCAAAGGAAAATACGTGGCTGCGATTAGTTGCCTGAAAAAGGTTTTGTTTTTTGTTTTTTTTTTAATTTTTTGATCGATTGAGAATTGCACAAAAGCAACAGTAAAATACTGCTGAACGAATCGAAATGTTCAATTTAGCAATTAATCAATATCCATCGAAGAGTTGGTTAATATGGATCAGTGTAACATCTTTCATTTTATTTCAAAGGAATCGTACTGAAAATCAAGAAAGACATCTAAGAACCGTAACGATGCATGTTCAGGCAAATTATTTGTGTCCACTCGATTGGAAGATTTGTTTCAATTTGGGACTTGTGCATAATGCAATGCAACAATATGCGTCTGCGTATCACTTCATCTCATCCGCTGTCAATCTCAATCCACGTTCACCACTCGCGTTCATGGCCTTAGCAGGTGCTCACTTATACGAAATAATGCTCTCATTTCAGTCGCTCTTTTACATATGATGCATTACATCCCGTCAACTAAGGAATCACTCCTCATTTAGTTTGTCTGACAAATCTTGACGATCCTGCAAATGCACGTAAAGCTTACGAGCGTGCCGTTCAGTTGGACAATGGCGAGAATCCACAGGTGTTTCTGAATTACGCTATTTTTGAAGCGAAACAAAAC